CAAATTGCTGAGGCTGGCCTTAGATTTGCAGTCCTGTCTCAGTTTTTCAAGTCCTGGGATTACAGGTGTGTACTACCATGCACTGTTTCAGATTATTTGGAAATCACTTTTCTATATTCAGTAGTTTGAATTTTGAATATTTTCCGTAAACTTCTGCAATGTCTCCCCTGTTTTATAAATTAGAAAATTTGGATATACAAAGAAGTAAAAGAAAAATTCTATGAACATACACCCAAATGTCTTTTACCTAGATTCAGCAGGTATAGCTATATATGATCCATCCATCCATCCCTCCCTTCCTTCCTTCCTTCCTTTTTTTTTTTTTGAGATGGGGTCTTGCTATGTTGCCCAGACCAATCTTGAACACTTCTGGCTCAAGAGGTTCTCCCAGCTTAACCTCACAGTGTAGTATGTGCCTGTAGACCTCAAGTACATGGGGTCTACAGGCACATACTACACTGTGCTTGGCCTTATATTTCTTCATCTGTATTTAAGTATTCATTTTTACTTTTATTGAATAATATTGCAGACATTTTGAAATTTCACTTATAAATATTTCAGAATGCATTTCTTAAAAATAGTCATTTTTCTGTTTAGCCAGAATTCCATTATTATGCCTAGAAATCTTATAATTCTATAATATAAAAAAAAATCTAATAAAACTTAGATTTACCAGTTCCTACAAATATTATAGAGTTGTTTCAATTCAGGGTTTAATCAAGGTTTATGTATTGCTTTAGATTCATTTATCTCTTGAGTCTAGTAGTCTAGAATAGGCTTTTCACTGTAAGGTCATCTGGACAGCCATCTTAAGTGATAGCTGCCATTTTAAGAAAAATTTTGCTTTCCTGCCCAAGGACCTCACTGAGAAAGTCTCATCACTCCCTCATAATCCAACATTTCACCACCTGCATTCCCAGCATTCTTTCCCGCCCAAGGGCACTACACAACTCCCTCATACCAACCCTACCCTTAACCGCTTGTGTTAGGACCAACCCAGCTCTAATCCTTGAGCCTCCCCCATAAAAGTCTCAAACCCCAAGCCTGTGTTGCCTCTCTCCATCTATGGAGAGATGGCCTTTGTCAACTCTAACAAATAAACTCTCATGTATATATCTACCTGATCTCTGCCTTTCATTTCTTGCTCGCCTATCTCCTGGCTTTCCCTTCACTTATCCCTTCCCTTATGTTGACATTTTGAAGGTGTATGATTCGTGTGAAATGCACTCTTTTAGATTTGTCGACTTTCTCGTGGTGTTGCTTAACATGCTTCTGTATCCCCTGTACTTCCTATAAACTTAAAATTCATATTAAGCTTTCTTAATCTAGAGTTGATCAATTTTTTCAATTGGGATTAAAAAAAATTTGTTTTTGTTTTCAGTTTCTTCTAACAGGAATTTAGCATTTCCTTCTATTTTATTTTTTAAATTTGTTATAATTAACCTTCCACTATTAACGTAGGCAACAAACTAGAGTTTTCAGCTGTACCAATAATTTTGTCAGGAATATCAGTGCTTTTCATATTTGCAATAACAGTAAGACAGTATCTTGAAAACAATGGGTTCTGCTCGAATTCAGGACCCCCAAAAGACCATCAGAGACCAAGATCAATGTAAGCAGCAAAGAGGTGTTTATTGCGAGCTAGCTCTGTCCTCCACACGCCCCCTGAGCCCAGGGTTTGCAGCAGTTTTATACACTCTTTGGGAAAGGCAGGGACTTAACATACATCATAGCATCTCTTAGCAAATCATCACACACCGCGGGAAAATCATAAAACAACTCTAAAACATGGTTAGCACACATTCACTGGTGGGAACAAGTTGGGTAAGGGTGATTGGTTAGTACAAGAGGGATAGTCATTTGAACTGATTGGTTTAAACCACGAGGGGGTGTCCGTGCTGAACTACATGGTTTCCCAATATGTTATCAACCACCATAAACTACTGGGAGGGCCACCTGGCATCCCAGGTATTTTCCCTGTCTCATGCTGATTGGTGGTTGTTAGGGGGTTGCTATGGGTCCTCACCTGGCCTGACTGAGTCTGGGATAACCGGCTCCTCAGATCTCTCCTGTTATTTGTAGATAAACAACTCATCAGGGTGGGTATGTGCCTGGGAGTGCTCTGTGGGTTCTTTCCAAGGACAAGGGTCACGCCCCCTTCCTTGGACAGGCTTTGCTCTGAGGTAGAGGCTAGTTTCTCAAATGTTCATTTTCTTTATACTTCATAGTAGTTATCAGAGACCTCTTGTCAGATCCTCGTCAAATCTTATTTAATGTGTTAATATAGAAACACATATATTACTGTATCACACATTGTTTGTAAAACAGTTTTTAAGTACATTTCAATATGTTTTCTACCTATCTACCTACCTTCCTTCCTCCCGATCTTTTTTTTTTTAAAACTGGGAATTGAACCAAGAGTACTTAACTACTGAATGGTATCCTTAGCCCTTTTTATTTTTTATTTTGAGATGCTTTTGCCAAGTTGCTTAGGGCCTTGCTAAGTTGCAGAGGCTGGCTTCAAACTTGAAATCTTCCTTCTTCAGCCTCCCAAGTTGCTTCACCTAGCTTAATATGTTTTCCTTTGTAACCTTTTCAGTTATATTACTTGAATTTGAAAGAGTCTGAAAAAGGGTCTGTATTGCACTGTCTAGTAGTAGTCAAGTAGCAAGGGCGACTGAATACTTGAATTGTGGCATGTCTGAGTTGAGATTTGCTCTAAGTATAAAATAGATACCATATTTTGAATATTTACAGCTTAGGTAAAGTATCTCTAATTTGAAAATATTAATTATATCTTAGAATGATAACATTATATATGTTAGGCTAGATATATATTAAAATGTATTTCATCCAATTTTTAAAAAATCTTTTAAAATGTGGCTACTGGAAAATTTAAGTTGATTTGATTTATGGTATTGGGGGGGTTGAATGTGTGTGTGGGGTACTCTCCACTAAGCTATATCTCTAGCCCTTTAAACTTCATTTTTTAAAAGACCTAGTTGTTTAGGCTGGCCTTGAATTTGTGATCTTCCTGCCTCAGCCTTCCAGGTTGCAGGGATTATAGGTGTGCGTGCACCTCAATACCCAGCTGCTTTTTTTCTTTTGAGGATCCATAACCTGTGATCCTAAGGGTATTTATGTACTTGGTTATGTAATGCCAGATTCGTGGGACCCCAGTAGACCTCCAGGAGCCGAATCCGATGCAATCACACAAGAGTTTTTATTGCAAGCTCGAGCCTGGACTCACAGTCGTTCCCGATGCAGTGGTCCCAGGGAGTGAGTCCTGGTCCTTTGTCCAGTGAAATTTTATAGGTTTTGGGGGGATACTCTATGCGTCACAACATCACACAGCAAATCATTCCATACCGCGGGAAAATCAAACAACAAATCTTAACCTTGTTTAGCTCATTCACTGGCAGGAACAAGTTGGGTAGGGGTGATTGGTTAGTACAAGAGGGGATTCCTTTGAATTGATTGGTTTAGGCCACAAGGGGTATACATGCTAAACTACATGGTTTCCCAACATGTTGTTAACCACCATAAACTACTAGGGGTCATCTGGCATTCCAGGTATTTTCTTTGTCTCAAGCTGATTGGTGGTTGCTAGGGGGTTACTATGGGTCCTCACCTAGCCTGAATCAGGGACACCTGGCGCCACAGATCTCTCCTGTTATTTGCAGACAAACAATTCAGCAGGGTGAGTATGTACTTAGGAGTGCTCTGTAGGTTTTTCCCAGGACAAGGGTCACGTCCCCTTCCTTAGGACAGGCCTTGAGGTAGAAGCTGGTGTTATTTATTTATTTTCAAAAATGGAGTCACATCAGTTTCTCAGTTATAAGTAGTTGCACTCATTATTCTTGTTCTTTTTAATTTTTTGATATCTTCCCCAGTCTGGTCTTAAACTCCTGGGCTCAAGCAATCTTTAGCCTCCCAAGTAGTTGGGACTGTGGGCACATGCAGCTGTGCTAGGCTCATTGTTGTTGTTGTTGTTGTTCTTTTCATTGAACATTCCCCCCCACAGTCTTAAAAGCTCTAATGGAAATTTCTACTGAAACTGATCTAGTGACATATGATTGAGTGCATCTTAACCTTCTTCTGGTTTTCAGTGATACTAGTTGTAGGTGCACAAGGCACCAGACTTAGGTATTATGTTTTAATAGAACAAGACAGGGGGCTGGGGATGTGGCTCAAGCGCTCGCCTGGCATGCGTGTGGCCTGGGTTCGATCCTCAGCACCACATACAAACAAAGATGTTGTGTCTGCCGAAAACTTAAAAAAAAAAGAACAAGACAAAATGTTTTCTAGGAATTTATAAAAAAATGAATTGAGGTATACCTATTTAACTAATATTGCAGTATAACTGTTGTGGAGTAAGAAAAATTAGAATCTTTTTTTTTATTTTTCAGTTTTCAGTGGACACAACATCTTTATTTTTATGTGGTGCTGAGGATCGAACCCAGTGCCCCACGCATGCCAGGTGAGTGTGTTACTGCTTGAGCCACATCCCCAGCCCCGAATCTTTTGTATTAGTTTTTTTTTTTTTTTAAAGAAGAATTTTTTTTTGTGTGTTAGGGATCGACCTGGGCCTTGTGTTGTGCAGTTAGGCAAGCTTTTTACCACTGAGCTACATTCCCAGCCCAAGGAAAATTAAAAAAAAAAAAAAAAAAAGCTGTTATTCATGTTAGCTTTTCATCTTGCTTCTAAAGGTAGGGTGGAAAACTGGAAATAGAAATGTCTAGGTAACAGAGCAGCCCAAAGGGAAAAGTTCTATGTGTTTGAGAGTACTTGTTTGTACCCTTAATGTTTGTAAACTCGAAATTGTTAAGAGGTTGTAAAAGTTACTGGGTCTCATGTGCATGCTAGTTATAATTATTTTACCTTGTATATATATAGCTTTTCTTATATAAAAGTCTTTAAGTTGGAGAATATTTGTTATAGGTATATTTCACGATTGTTTTTGATATTTGCCTGACTTTGGCCTTTGATTTCTTTCTTAGAAATGACTGCTGTTCACACAGGCAACATAAACTTCAAATGGGACCCCAAAAGTCTAGAGATCAGGACTTTGGCAGTTGAAAGACTATTGGAGCCTCTTGTTACACAGGTAAGAATCTGAAAACACAAATACATAGTTGTAGCATGGTTCTATAGCAGTAGGCTTGAGTAGACCAAGGTTATTTCTTTCAAAGTCTTAATATGATTGGTTGAATTTAGTGTGATAGTTTTTATATGATTTGGCTCATCTAATATTTGAATATTGATACAGAGATTTATTTAATTCGTTGGAACACATTGCTACAATTTTCTTGAGTCATATTGCCAATAGTGGAGGCTGTTGGTATATAGAGCAGATTTTTAGATATTGGCACTTTGCAGAGAACTTCACCCTTCCTTAAAGGGGAAACTCAAGGAAGTTGTGATATGGATCCTTGTTAAGGTTCCTTACTCAGCTTAATGCCCTTTCTTTTCTTTTTTTTTTAAAAAAATTTTTTTTTAGTTGTAGATGGACACAATACCTTTATTTTATCCATCTATCTATCTATCTATCTATCTATCTATCTATCTATCTTTATGTGATGCTGAGGATCGAACTCAGTGCCTCACACATGCCAGACGAGTGTACTACCACTGAGCCATAACCCTAACCCCCAGCTTAATGCCCTTTCATTATGTAGGATTAATTAGCAGGTAATTGAATTTGAGGGCATAGTTTTGGGTATTCTGTTACAAATACATGTATCATAATGTGATGGCATTTATCAATTGTCAGTAATTAGCTATGCGCTTTTAGTATTTTGGTATAGTTTACATGTATGTGTGAGAGAATATGAGATATATCAAGTGAGTAGCATTTGACAATCTTTTAAAAAAAATTCTATTCCAACTTACAGATGTAAACTAGTATTTTATATATCTCTATATAGGAGTGTATGGTAAGAGTGGAATATTTACTCTCTGGACCCCATGTACTATAGCCGTCTTTTGTTTGGCAGATTTACACTATAACAAATCATTAATCATTTCATCCTACGGATCATAAGGTATTATACATATTAATACTGATTAGTATTCTGGGACTTAAAGCATCATCACAGTAGGCTTCTATGGGTAGTTACTCTTCTTTTTAATGACCTTTACTAATTAATTGCTAAGATTTGTGAGAATAAACTGAACAAAGACTTCAGAAGCAAATTATCTTAAAAATGTTTTGTAAACATTGATAACAATGACAAAATGTGGCTTTCTGGTGAAATTCATTGTCAACTTATTTATTTATTTATTTGTGATGCTGGGGATTGAACCCAGGGTCTTGTGCATGTTAGGCAAGCAATCTTCGAAATGAGCTATATTCCCAGCCCTCATATTGTTAATCTTTCTAGAACTTCATGGTGACATAGAAGAGAGATATCTTAACTTATTTCTTTTTTCTTTCTTTTTTTGTTTTGCTTACAAACAAAACTTTGTTGAAAAAACACCAAAATTGGAGATCAAACATAATTACATTATCTTGGTAGGGTAACTAGAAATACTGAACTTATAAGGCTTTTGTGAGAAAACACAAATTCAGGAAGTTGTACGTCATTAACAGTTTCTTCTTCTAAATGAACAACCTTCTGTGAGTTTGGCCTTTCCTCTTATAGGCTGGTACAACAGTGTCAAACAACCTACACAAAGAACCGCTGAGCATGGCTGAGAACTGTGGAAATCTTGTTGCAACCTGAACATTTTACATACATAAAATAAGAATTTGGACTTTGAACTAGTCATTTCTTATGTTTTTTTATTTTCCAAGGAAGGATTAAACAGATCTCTAGCCAATCAGCAGAGACAATAATTCAGAAGTTAAAGTTATTTTTAAATAATACCATTTTCATCAATATTCTGTGTTCCCAAGTTCCTAATTTGTAAAGTCAAAATATTTTTTATTGCTGGGTATGGTGGTGTAAGCCTCTGTTTCTAGCGACTTGGGAGGCTAAGGCAGGAGGATCACAAGTTTAAAACCAGCCTCAGCAACTTAGTGAAGCACTTAGTAACTCAACTGTCTCTAAATAAAACAAAAAAGGGCTGCTGGGGATGTGGCTCAGTGGTTAAGCGCCTCTGGGTTCAATCACTGGTACCTCTACACACACACACACACACACACACACACACACGTTTATATTTATATTTGTATATTATCTTACACATTAAGGAAGCTAAGTTATTTTGAAACCTAAATTTAGTATCATTGCTTTATATCTTAAATATGGTAAGAGTTGTTATTTAATGCTTACTGCAATGTTTCCTTATGAATAATTTACTGATGCTATCTTTTAGGTTGTTAGTCTTTCTTTTGTTTTCATTTTAGATGACTGCAATTTAATTAATTTTTAAAATGAAACCTTTAGGTTACAACCCTGGTAAACACCAACAGTAAGGGACCCTCTAATAAAAAGAGAGGTCGTTCTAAGAAGGCCCACGTTTTGGCTGCATCTGTTGAACAAGCAACTGAGAATTTCTTGGAGAAGGGGGATAAAATTGCAAAGGAGAGTCAGTTTCTCAAGGAGGAGCTTGTGGCTGCTGTAGAAGATGTTCGAAAGCAAGGTAGGTCAATATTTTTTTTTTATATAGAGGCAAGCCTTTATAGAAAATTGGTCGTACTCCCCCCCCCCCCCCCCCCGGAATGCAATCCAGGACCTTGTATATGCTAGGTAATAACCCTGCCACTGGCCACTGGGTTACATCCCCAGGTTCTGCAAAAGCCATCTTTAGAGGAAATTTTTGTGTGGTCAGTAGTCAGTGCTTGCTACTTAGTTATTCAGTAACTTATAATATTTATTTGAGTTGTATAATTAATTGTACAGGCGCATATTTTAATCAGAAGATATGCTTACATTAAAATGTCTTTTTGGAGAGTCTGAATCTACTTCTCTTGGGTGTTTCAAGAATTAGTTAAGTCACAGAAATGTTCTTGCACAATTCTAAAGGGTATAAAAGTGACAGAAGTTTTATGTTTCTTCTTGTGATACCTCTTCTTAATTCATAGTAATGATATTGGATAATGTGAAACATTTAGCTTGATAATATTCATTACTCTGAAAATACCCTAGAAATTTGTCCTGTACTTTCACACTAGTATGTTAAATCATCTATGCATATTTGTACTGGTTTGTGTTTGACATAAATATATCTGGGCATAAAGAAAAATAAAATTATGGCATTTGCTGGCAAATGGATGGAACTGGAAACTATCATGCTAAGTGAAATAGGCCAATTCCAAAAAACCAAAGCTAAATGTTCTCTCTGATATACAGAGGGAAGAATATAAATTCATTGGATTAGACAAAGGGTTAGGGAGATGGCATAGGAAAGACAGAAGAATGAATCGGACGTAACTTTCCTATGTTCATATTGAATACATGACCAGTATAACTCCACATCATGTACAACCACAAGAATGGGAAGTTATATCCCATGTATGTATGTCAGAATACATTCTACTGTCATGTACAACTAAAAAGAACAAGTAAAAAAATTATATTAACTCATTTAAAAAAATATCTTGGCTTACATGAATCATGTTTTTGTCAACTCAAAATTGAATAGGTAAAATGGTAAGTTAATCCACACCTTACCAGTAATTATTGTTAGAAAAATTATCATTGTTACACTGTAAATTTGAAAAGAAGACTTTAAATCTGGAAGATAATTTTTTTTTTTTGGGTGCAGTACAGAGGGTTGGACATAGGACCTTGCACGTGCTAAGCAAGGGCTCTGCCATTAGCCACATCCCCAGTCCTTTTTATTTTACTTTGAGACTGGGTCTCAGTAAATTGTCTTGACTGCCCTTGAACTTTCTATCCTACTTTTAGTTTTCATAGTAGCAAGGATAATAAGCATATACCACTATGCCCTACTGAGGGTAAACTTATTGAAATCTGTAGTTCTGTGTTAGACCTGTGTTCTAGTAGGAGAAATTCAACAAAGATGTAAGTTTTGTAGGCCATTGGATATCAGCTAAGGTGAATTGAGCCTCTAATATGGACAGTGCTTTACTGACCTTTAGAAGGACTTCACTTCTGGTACCCTAAATAGCAAAGTACATAGGCCACTGGAGTCTAAGTCAAATTCATCCTTGTGACAGTACCCAAAAGGAGGAGTATCTTTGATAGAGATGACATTTCCAGTTGTTCTGAATTTGTGAACTAAAAACCTTATTTGGGGGCTGGGGTTGTGGCTCAGTGGTAGAGCACTCGCCATGCATGTGTGAAGCCTTGGATTTCATACCCAGCACCACATAAAAATAAATAAATTAAATAAAGGTATCATGTCTATCTAGAACTAATATATATATAAATATCTTATTTGGTGAATATTTCAGTTTCAGGCTGAAGATAAATATCTCTAATACTAAAAATAATGAAATTATTAAAATTTTTAATATGAGTGGGGTGGCTATATTAGTTTCCTAGGCCTGCCAGAATATAAATTATTATAAATTTGATGGCTTATAACAATAGAAACTTATTCTTCCATAATTCTAGAGGTAAAAAATATGAAATTAGGGACTGGGGTTGTGGCTCAGAGGTAGAGCACTCGCCTTGTGCGTGTGAGATCTGGGTTCCATCCTCAGCACCACCTAAAAATAAATAAATAAATGTATTGTGTCCAACTACAGCTAAAAAATAAATATTTTTTTAAAAAGAGGGTGGCTGGGGTTGTGGCTCAACGGTAGAGCACTAGCCTAGCATGTGTGAGGCCCTGGGTTCGATCCTCAGCACCACATAAAAATAAATAAATAAAGGTATTGTGTCCAACTATAAAAGTAAAATATTAAAAAAAAATATGAGGGCTGGGAATATAGCTCAGTTGGTAGAGTGCTTGCCTTGCATGCACAAGGCCCTAGGTTCAATTCCCAGCACTGACCCCCCCCCAAAAAAAAAATATATATATATCTATATATATGAAATTGTAGTTTTGGCAGGCTTGGTTCCTTCTTGGGGTTCAGGAAGAATCTACTCCATGCCTTTCTCCTGGCTTCTTTTATATTTTTGCAGATTGGGAATTGAACCCAGGGGCACTTTACCACTGTGCTACATTTCTAGTCCTTTTTATTTTTTTAGATAGGGTCTTGTGATCTTGAACTTGGTGATTCTTCTCTCTAAACCTCCAATCACTGGGATTTCAGGCATGTGCCTCCACACTGTGCTGTTCTTGCTTCTTGGGTTACCAGGAGTTGGAGAAAAGGCACTCCAATCTCTGTTTTTTGTCACATACCATACTGTTTTTCTTGTGTATCTCTGTGTCCATATTTCCCTTTCCTTCTAAGAGCATCATCAGTCATTGAGTTAGGGCTTTCATCCTAATCTAGTGTGACCTCATCTTAACTTGATAACCATCTGCAAAAACTCTAATTTAAAGTTCACATTCTAAATAAGTTCACATTCTAAATAAGTTCACATTTACAGGTTCTGGGTGGATATGAATTTCTAGCCTAGCACAAGGATTCGAATTTGTTTTAAAGCAGTGCTTTTTATCTTCCCTTTTGTATTCTAGGAAAGTATCCGGTCTGTATCCCCAGCCCCTTAGCAGTTTAATGTCCAGTTTAGGAACATTTTGAGCGTTCTGCGGAGGAAATTAAAATGACTCTTACTTCATTTTCCTCTATGGAAATGTTCTGTTCCCCAGCCCTTCTTATAGCCTGTAGTGAAATTCCACAGTTGTAACAGATGTGTTTGGCCAAGTCTTCATTGTGTCTACTGACCAAAACATTTTAAAAATATATTTAATTGTTGCAGGTAATAATATACATATATTTCTTGTTTTAGAAGTATCTCTGATGCAAATCATGGTATAATCCACACACTGTCCCTCAAACTGCCCCGCCCCCCTTTTGAATGCAGATCTGAATTTCTCTTTGCTTGTTATTTTTGTTTATATCTGTGAAAATCTTGTATGTGATTCTGAATCATAAAGACTTGTTTTCCTGGTCCAACTTTTCAGTTACTTATGATCATGGTCCTATTCATCATAATTTGTCTTTCTGCCAGGGGTTGGGGGTAGGGTAGAGAAATACAACCAAACTATAATTGTCTCCCATCATCATTGCATCAGATAGAAAAAGCTGAAGTGCTTTGCTTTTTTTGTTGGCTAAGTTTTTTCTTTGGAGAATGTTAACAATTGGTGATAAACCCTGTTTTCTGTCATTAGTAAAACAAAATATATATTATGAAAATGATTAAGCACAGATTTAAAAAAAATCAGATAAGACTCTGTTTTGTTGCTGAAGCTGTTTAGTCATGTTTGGAACCCTGAAGTAGTGTTGCTATCTAGATTTTTTGATGGCCTCCCTTAAAAAAGTGGAGCCTAACCTCAAACCTCAGCAGTGTTGCTTGGACTTAGTAACTCAGTTCTGTAATGGAATGTGGAGGAAGTGATGTGATCTACTTTGGAGGCAAAGTTATAAAAAGGGATCATATTTACCTGACTTTTTCTCATGGAATATTCACTCTGGGGAAGGCTGGCTGCTATGCCAGAAAACACTTATGAGGTCCTGTAGAGAGGAGCTGAAGTCTCTATCAGCAGTCAGCACAACTTTGTCAGTCATGTGAGTTAACTCCCTTAGAAGTAGATCCTCCAACTCTAATCAAGTTTCAAATGACATTAACCAACCAACTCTAAATCCCTGGCCCACAGAGAAACCCAGGAGATAATAAATGTTTTAAGCTATCAGCTTTTATAATAATTGTTAGGCAGCAAACGAGAATTATTATAAACACCTTTGCTGGCTTGACTTCAGTGGTTTTGAGCATTAATGCAAAAGCTTGACCTAACTGTAGTCATTTTTACTAGTAAATAAAATAAATGCTTATCTATGGAAAGTCCTAGTTGCTAAAGGAAGTGTAATAAAATTGTCATTTACCAGCAATTACTTTTGTTTAGAATAATGTTTGGCAAATTTTTTTTGGTTAAGGGCCAGGGAGTCAAATCTGTTGAAACTATTAAGTGTTACTTCTGTCTTGGGAAAGCAGCTACGGACAATATATAACAGATGGGCATGGTCTTGTTTTAATAAAACAAAACTTATTTATAAATACAGGAGGTGGGCTAGAGTTTTGGAGGGTGGGGGTACTGGGAATTTAACCCAGAGGTGCTTTACCACAGAGCTACATCCCTAAGCCTTTTGATTTTTTTTTTTTTTTTGAGACAGGGTCTCAATAAGTTGCTGAGACTGGTCTTGAATTTGCTATTCTCCTGCCTCAGATTGCTGAGCTGCTAGGATTACAGCAGTGTGCCACCATGCCCAGCAGCGAGTTGGGCCAGATTTGATTTATAGGCTGTAGTTTGCCTAACCCCTAACCTAGGTGTTTTTTTTTTTTGAGACTAATAAAATTACAAGGTTACTATTTTAAAAGTAGTATTTGTTCATAATTTATTTATAGCACTTATGAGCCAAAAAATTAAGCCTTGTATGTCTTTGGGTTTGTACACATTCTATGCAGTCATAATGAACATCTAGAAACTTGATTTTTACATGGCTAATGTAAGACTAGAAAAACGCCGCACCACACGACACAGATTACCAAAGAGGTTTTCGCTTTATT